TACTGAACTTATTGATATTTTTAACAAATATTTTTTTGACAATTCAGGCCATCTTCGCTGCAGCGCTGAAGAGAATGGTCCACCCAAAGTTGTACCAAATAGCAGTGGCACTCGACGTGTGTAAGGTGTTTTCCAATGCTAGCGCAAAACAATGTAGCGTGGGCGAAGTCTCCAAATTTGGTATGATGCTCCAACGTCACATCTTTAGAAGGATCACGGGAGCTGCCCGGGAGAACGTGTGTTACCATGAGTGTGTCGCTAACATCCGATGCCGAAGTTTCAACTACGTTTTCACTCAAAACATTTGTGAATTAAATAACCGCAGCAAGGAGGCTGCGCCTGAGGATTATGTTCCGAACCCCGAGCGGTATTACTTCAAACGGGAACAGAACAGAAGTAAATAAGTCAAGAACTAAATAAAAACTTTCTCCTCTGTCCGCCATACATCTCATATCATTTGTCGTTTAATCAAACTATATTTCTTTGTTGATAATTAAAATTCTTTCTTCTCGCTACTTACAGCTTGAAAGTGAATTGGTAAGCTTTTTTCATTCATACAACCAATAAAAACCACAGCATATGATACAATAGCCACATGAGACAACTTTTACGCTGTTACTTTCTTCCAGTCGCTCTCGGTTCCATTCCTGATCTGCCCGCAGAGACTTGCCAGGAAATCAAAATGAGTGAAGGAGGACATGTGGTCAGCGGCAGATACTGTTTTTTTTCGATTGTACCCGGAAAGACTGTTCAGTCTCCATGTGACATGAAAACTGAAGGTAACTGAAATCATAGTTTTTTTTTTCATATTATTGCCCCCTGAGACAAAGGAGAACTCAGTGAAAAATAATTGAACCTTAAACTGACCTGTTGACAACAACAAACCCATGTAAGGCATCCAAGAAACCAAAGTTGTTTTTCCTCATCTAAGGTCTTGTTGAAAGTAAAGAGTTTTAAGAATTTTTTAGATTTGCACACCTTTCCGTGACAGTTGTCTTTGATTAGCATAACAAACATGTTCAAATGGTTTCTAAGTGACGTAATAGCCTAGAATTGAGAACAAAGAGGTTCTTGGGATTGAAAAACATATGCGAGGGAGAGATGAACAAATAATGTTTGTATTAAGCTTTTTGTGATGTTGAGATAAAGTTATTTGATGTTTCTTTGGAGTCAGATAGTTTTTATGATGATTCTTGTTGATTATTAGCGCTTAAGGAATCAAACAGGTCTCTTTATCATTTCATGTTTCTCTAGATCACTGACAACTCTCTTTGAACAGTTCAAAAAGTTCTCGTTTGCCAAATTTCATGTTTCACAGGTTTAGATTATCATCGAATATCATTCTTGTTACTACAACTTAACTGAAAAGAATTTTGTCAAACATTTTCGGAAAAGGCTGAACTCGACCTGCACTTGTCAGAAAGGCAGTGTCTCAATCGTTCGCTGCGATAGCCGAAGCGTCGTACCAGTGTAAATTTTGGCTCCCGCTGGAAGCCATGCCAGAATCAATTGATCTCACAAGTGCCAAAAAGGCAAGCTCTGATTTCGTTTTTGCAGACGTGGACGAATGTAATTCATCAATTCCCGTGTGTGACGTCAACGCTGAGTGCGTGAACACCATCGGTTCTTACAGTTGTTCGTGCAAAGCGGGTTTAACTGGAAATGGAAAAAGGTGTACTGGTAAGTCAGTTGGTGTCATGACTTTCATGGTTACCCGAAGGTATTAATTGAGATTAGCTCTGCTTTTTAGGAGTAGGCTTGGTAAGGATGGCAGCGGGGACAGGAATTGGTTTTAGTTTGGAATACGAATGGTTGACCGGCAAAGTGGTGCGAGTTTTCTGGACCAATCAGGGAGGGCAGTAAAGCAAAATCAAAGCAATCTAGAATTATATTACTCTCCATACTCAACTGAAAATTGTTCCAAAAACCGTTTAGCATTATCTTTCAGCCATCCATCCATTCGGTAAATCACTCTTTCAGATGTTGACGAATGTACCATGAAATTACATGACTGTGACGTCAATGCCTACTGCAACAACATCATTGGTTCTTATCGATGCATGTGCAATCACTTGTACCAAGGAAACGGAACAAGCTGCCGCTATTTTCGTGAGTTTAGCCAATATTTAAACATAAGTGAAACTATCTCTGCGCAACTGTTCCTCACTTAGTTACGACACCGGCGCATCTCGCATTCTGCGCAACTGTTCCTCGCTTAGTTACGACACCGGCGCATCTCGCATTCTGCGCAACTCTTCCTCACTTAGTTACGTCACCGGCGCATCTCGCATCCTGCGCAACTGTTCCTCACTTAGTTACGACACCGGCGCATCTCGCATTCTGCGCAACTGTTCCTCACTTAGTTACGACACCGGCGCATCTCGCATTGAAGTTGAAGTTCATTTATTTGTTTAAGCAGGTTAATTAATTGGCAGCTGTAATAGCTGATGTGGACCTGCTGTCCTAACCCACCCATCCCAGCCCAGGGGAGGACATCCATCACACAGTAATCTCGTGTGAGGGAAATTAACATCTCCT